TGATGCGGGGCTCGAACTCACGGACCGCGAGATCGTGACCTGGCTGAAGTCGGACGCTTAACCGACTGCGCCACCCAGGCGCCCCAAGTTTTTCCTTTGGTTTCTACAACTTATTTTTTATAATTTTACCAATGACTTATAGTCCATATAGGGCATTATCTCTATAACCAATGAAGCATTGAAATGGGCCAAGTAATATGATTACTGTCTCGTGTTCTGACAAGTTAGACTACTAAAGTATTTATTACAATATTACCCTACTCTTATGCAATTTAAATTTAGTCTTCTTTTTGGTTCTCAGATCATTCATAATTTCACAAGGCGAATCCAGACCAAAATCAAAGATCTTCTACAGCAAATGGAAGAGGGGCTCAAGACAGCTGATCCACATGATTGCTCTGCTTATACTGGTTGGACAGGTGAGAATATAGGGTATAGTTAATTGATGTTCTGTTTGGGGATTACAATTGTAACATTTGAATTTAAAATTTGCTTCTTTTAAAGTGGTAAAGTTTTATACCCTTTAAACAAAATCTTGAACTTCTTCAGTGATGAGATACTTTGGAATTTTATTTCTAAAGAAATCTTTTCTGCCTGAAATTTGAACTTTGGTATGTAGTATGTCATATTTTTATAGCATTATTTATTTGACCTAATATATGGGTATCTATGAAAATGTATAATAAGAGATAACTTGCTGTAGGTTCAGTTTTTTATTTGCCTTTACACTTTGATCTTTGTGACAAGTTGTGGTATATGATTTCTCCATTGTACCTAAACTATTTAACCTATTGCTTGTACCCATTTGATTCATTTAGACACATAAAGATTCTGCTTTTGAATTTAGTGATAATAATTGAATAAGCAACCAGTAATACACTTTACATCCAAAAACTTAATTTCAAAATTAGCTTGCCTTAACTAATCTTTATATTCTTATTATTTTACCATGTAGCCAGAACATTATGATAACTATTTAGGGAGTATAAGGAAATAAAGACCTTCTTCTGAGGGATTAGACTACAGTATGATTAGTGCCAATAATAATTTTCATATTGATTTATAGCCTTTGCTAAACTTTTATAGTTTAGTCAATGAACAGCATAGACATAAGTATACATGTTAGAATACTGAGAACCGATACGATACCTGCTTTTGCAATACACAATCGAAAAGGCCCTAATTTTTTTTATTTGTGTTTATTTTTATATTTATTTCTGTGGTGCTTTATTTATATTTGCCTATTATGAATACAACATTTACATAAATTTCATTACAATTAAATTTTTCAAACTTTTAAACCCAGGAAGACATGGAGTTAGTTCAACTTATACAGCCAAAGAAATTTATCTTAATATAAATTTAGATAATTTTGGCTAACTTGAAGTAAATTCAAAGAAGGATATCTTGAAAGGAAAAACAACATAGTTACTCTTAGCACAGATTTTCCCTAAAACACCTTTTTCTTTTTTCTTTTCTTTTATTTCAAAGTTTTATTTAAATTTTACTTAGTTAACATATAGTGTAATAATGGTTTCAGAAGTATAATTTAGTGATTCATCACTTACATATAACACCCAGTGCTTATCA